TATATATATATATATATATATATTAAAAGAAAATATCAAACTGAGGATGTTGCCGATCATTTCGTGAAATCTCGCGCTACTCGATCCGATCCACTGTGCGTCGCTTGACTGAGAATGCTAGTGTTTCGCGAGGCGAAACTCTCCATTTCCATTTCATTTCGCGAACGTTTCAATTACGCTGTGGAGGGGAGAGTTGATCGATGTCCTCTAATCACACCGTGTCTGACGCGTTGCAACCTTTGCTCGGCGCAGCGAATTCTCGAAGGAGAGGGAGAAGGCAAAGGCGAGGGGCGATTTCCACAAGCTGCGGGAGAAGCAGCAGATCGAGGACGATCTCAGGGGTTATCTGGACTGGATCACGCAGGCCGAGGACATCGAGCCGGAAACCGACGAGCCGAAAATGCAGGATGGAAAGAGTACGTCTCATCTCGACCGCGAACTCGTCGAGTTTTTTCCAAACTCTCGATCGAATAATCACGATTTGTATCGGGATTTCTATGCTCGATTTATCATAATCCTTCTGTTCCGAGCCTCGTTGCATATTTATTTTACATCGTCATTTTCATACGTTACAATCGACGAGTCGTCACGTTTAGTCCAGCAGGTTTCTCTTTTTTATTTTTTTACCTTAACGACGATAACAAAATGTTGATCTTTCGAACAGCGAAACAACAGAGCGAGATGGAGAGCACGGATCAATTAGAGGGTGACGAGGAGGGGGTTCAACAGGAATCCGTCTGGAGGAGGAAAAAGCTGGCTTTCGACAGGTGAGATTTACTAGCAGCAAAAAAAAGAAACAAAAGTGAGCTTCGCTACCTATCCGCCAGTTTGTTGTCACATAGTTGTCGTTTACCTTTTGATCGTGATGAAATTTGCAATGGAAATCCTTCGCAGAGCGAACAGGAGAATGAGGAGGGCCTGCAGAAAAGCCGTCAAGTCGCAGGTTTTCTACTGGCTGATTATAGTATTGGTTTTCCTGAACACCGGCGTTCTCGCGACCGAGCACTACAATCAGCCTCAATGGTTGGACGACTTTCAAGGTACGAGCATCAATTAATCCCCGTTGGACAACTCACGGTTAAAAGTATCCTTGTTTCTCTCGATTCTACACAGAGATCACGAACATGTTCTTCATCGCGCTGTTTTCCATGGAGATGATGCTGAAAATGTACAGCTTGGGATTTCAAGTAAGTCTCGCTCGACACAGCTCGACGAAAATTCTCTACAAATAAGAAAAAAAAAAAA